AACATTCATTGTGTCTTTGTCTTTTCATTTAATGCTGGATGGCACTGTACACATGAGTCACAGACCCACTTTTGAAGTTTTGCTGATTAATTGGAGATAAGAGTCTCATGGACTTTTTGGCCTGGCCTTTGAACTATGATTCTCAGATCTCACTTATTTAGTGTTACAGGCATGAGCCACTAGCACCCAACTGCATGTGCTATTCTTAATTGCAGAAATGTGCAAATATTTCCCAAATTGTGTTGCTTATATTCTTGGCATATCAATAGAAAAGAAAGAGGTATGTGCAGTCCCTCTTCTCTTGAGCACTGGGAAAAACCTAAGTTGCCTGTTTGCTGAGCAGATCCATGCAAACTCATATTGACAATACAATAGCCACAATCATGGGGCTTGAGTGTGTACAACACCGTACCATATCCAAACCCATCACATGGGTGTTAGCTTGCTTCCCCTTATACATAGCTTATAGCATAGACACAGAAGAAAGAGTCACAGACTAACCACACTGATAACTGGGAAAAACCAAGAGATCATTCAAGCCATACCCAACATGTTATAGGTGATAAAATTGAGCCTTATAGTAAGTAACTTGACCAGAATCATTCAGGAAGCTTTCAGCAAAGCACAGACCTTCGTTAAACTCTTCTTATCATACTCTTAGCCCAGGAACCATTCAGGACTCCTGACCATATTAACAACAAGCATAAAACTTAAATATAGGAGGCACCACCATCATTTCCTTTCATTACAAAAGCCTTTGAATGAAATATGTATGTACATGCACACACAGAGACACATAGTTTGCTTCTCTCACATCTGCTAGGAAGCCTTTCTCAAATGTTGTCAATCACTGCATTTCCTACACCTTTGCTTATTCTTCTCTCAATATCATTAGCATGCCAAGAAATATGAACTTGATTTGATCATTTCTGCAATCCAGTGACTGGCACATAACGGGTATTCCAAATAAGTTAGCAGAACAAAGTGGAAGAGTATGACAAAGAGATGCCACCATCTCCAGTGTGGCCAAGGACAAGTTATTATGCCTGTTTGTGTTTCTGAATCCTCCATGGTCAAATAGGGGTGATGTTAATCCCTGTCTTAGTGATGTGTAATAGCAAAGGACCAAGCAAACTGCATATTAAGCACAGTAGATTCAAAATTGAAGGCAAAGCTTGTGATGAGATGCTAGTTACTTGAGATACAACCCATTCAGATGAGCCTGACATGAATTTGAGGACAGCAGAGCCTAGAATAGAAACTTGACGGTCTTGTGCCACTGCCTATCATGTAGTTCCTATGTGTCAAAAGAGCAAAGCAGAGATAGCCACAAGTTGTTAGGATTTTGTAGAATCCAAGCCACAAAATATGATATGGATAATATGGTAGAAAACTGGGCTTTTGTGTGCATTTCTCAGGATTGACCTTAGAGTCCTGACATCATATTAAGAATCTGTCAATTCTTTGTCACATACTAGATGATAAAATAGAGTTGCTTAGTCTTTTCTCTACTAACATGTGTATTAGTTTGTCAGACAAAGGGAAGACACATTTGGTATAGGGGAATTATGCACTTTGAACTAGTCACCAGCATTTATTTCCAGCTAAATATGATATTATGTGTAAGCAACCTCATCTCTTAGAATGTGTTACCTTAGTTGTCCAGTAGGGATAAGAATCACTGCTTTGCAAGTCTTTCCAGAAAGATAATAGTAGTCCAGATATAAATGAAGGCTTTTTTGTGGAGGTTTAGGCCCAATTTAAATGTGTTTATCTAATTTTTGTTATGAAAGAAGTGATGCATGGTGTTGAGTGCAAATACCCCCAATGGGAATGAGTTGCAAAAGCCTTGAGAAGGCCTTTGAAGCAGGTGTCCATTTCTCCCTAATGAATGGGTGGAAGATTAGTTCATTTGGACAAGGGCACAGAACTGTTCTTATCTTGGGAATAGCAAGAATAGACAAAAAATAGATTCACACCTTTCAAGTGCTAATGAAAATAACAATGGAGAATCCATTGTGAGCTTGCCACACTTTATAGGTCTAAGTCATTTGGAGAAGAGAAAGAGCTTGCTCCAAAGTTAGTTGCTGAAAATACCCCTTCAGGAAATTATATTCCTTTCAACCATCCTTAGCATAATCTAGTGCATCTGTTAGGAGTAATGCAGACTTAGTGAGCTGTTTCATGAATTCACACATGTTCGAATACAGAGAATCAGTCGTGATTGAAAATACAAACGAGTAGGTAGTTTCATGTGGATTGGCCAGCAGGGTGGTGCACTCCACTGCTAATTCAATGTAATCAGATCTGCCATGGAGCAAACACAGAAGACCTAGGGGGAGAAGTAGGGCTTTCGGAATGATTTCATTTTTGCCATTGTGTGAAGCAGCCAGAGGCACAGCTAGAGAAGTAGCCATGAGAGGAGCTATAATGAGGCCTTTCATTGTTTCAGACACATTTCTGATTGCTGAAAAGAGGGAACACTCATTTCCAAGCAAAGAACTTACTATCCCTTGGTCAACTTTGGTGAAATATTGATTACATTTTAGTTACTTAAATTACTTGTTACTTAAATTTAGTTACTTAAGTTAATTAAATTAACTTTGGAGAATATAATTATGGAGTAAAATGTGACAGTGTGCAATGTTTACATCTTGGAATGAGTAAACTAAATCAATGCATCCCTCATCTCACATATCTTACATTTCTATGGTGAAAAGATTTAAAAGCTACTCCCTTAGTAATTTTAAATATTCAGTGTATTATGAACTCTAGACATCCTGCAATGCCTTAGACCTCCAGAATTTATTCCTCCTTAACTGAAAGTGTAAGCAATTTGACCATCAACTCCTGATTTACTCTAGTCACATATTTTAAATGATCTACCAAATTTTGGAGGACAACTTTAATCAAGGAAAAAAAAACCTAAATTAAGAAAGAAAAGTTCAGATCATTTTAAAGACAGGAAGTAATTGGAATTCTGTTGTTAACAGTTGTCACAGAGTTACTTTGGGTTAGTTTTGATGAACACATTGTCGCATTCATTATGAATCTTTATCAACTGGATACAAATGAGCAACTCAAAAACACTTGGAAATAGTCTATCTCTTAAGTAGGTTAAGCATCCCCTCTAAGTCTTGTCTGCATTTTAATATACTTACCACCTCCTTTTTAATAGTGCTGGGGAAAATTCAATCTGTGTCAGAGCATGTCTGAATAATACTTACAAATTCTGCTTCAGTAGTGCCAGGGTGAATGAAGCTGTGAAGTATCTCTTTGCATTACAGCTCTTCATACATCAAAGACTCTTTTTGAACTAGGTAATTATAAAAGGGGAAAAAAGCCATATTTTAGTGCTACCTGAGAGTTCTTATTAATATTACCTTTGAAATGACTAATTATGTTACCTGTAAGGATTGGGGGGAAAGTATTTATGTAACTCACTCATTAAAAAAGACTTTCACAAACTTTGACCCTTTCTATCCCTCCTCAAAGCTGCCCTTTATTTCCATCATTACATTGATTTTTAGTTACAATGTTTATGCTCAAAAATGCTTGATGACTGTGACACATTCTGATTCCATCGTGCTTCACAAAATTGACAACTTGTCTGTTATAAGGATTTTGATCATATGATTTAATTATCCTTAATTTTTGGGTAACGCACGTTGGCCATGTGTCCTAAGAGTTGAGCAAGATTTCAGCATTGCTTCTTCTTCAACAAATTGAAAGAGCTAATAATGGGGAGGAGGAGCCTGGACAGCCTTTTCTGTGCACAAATGTTGACTCACAAATATACTTGGTAGCACCAAGCTAGCAACCATATAGCAACCAAGGAAAAATCCTGCTCAGCTACCTCATTTGTGCATAGAAAAACAGCATGTGCTTAATCTCCTCACAACAGTTAGGCCACATCAAGGGAAGGTGAGTATCAGTGTATCCAAACTGAAAGTGATGGTCAGTGCTGCACTCCCTGGAGCTGGCAGATCACATCTGGATCACAATACCAGAAGTTAGAAGAGCCTAGGTAATCAGGAGTCCCTCTCAAGAGACCATAACATAGTGACAGAATGGAGAACTGGAAGGCAAGTTGGAAATTTCTACTAAAGGAATGAACAAGCTAAGTATATGTCAGCCTGTAGAAAAGATAGCACCTTGATGCTAACCAAAATGAACTCCAACATGTGGACACCAGAGGGTTTTCTTTGTTGTTGTTCTCAATGTACTATGTGATTTCTTTTTTCCTTTTTGTCCCCCTCCCCCCCCCACCATGGTATATCCACTGTTGTCACTGTACTCACTTTTGGTACTCTGGGTTATCGTATATATATTTATCTGAACTAGGGAACAACAAAATGGTGAGACGATTCCCAGGACAAAGGGAGAACCTATGGAACAGTGATACTCCCAAGACAATATTTGGAAATGACCTGTACAACTTGGGGAAGGGGATTGGGAGAGAGGGAAAGAGGGAGAAAAATGAAGGAGGGAGTAACAAGTTAGACAGTAAATACAATCACTACCTTACTTATGTAACCCCTCTGTATATCACATTGACAATAAAATTTAAAAAAAAAATAAAGAAAAGAAAAAAGGTAGAGTTGCTGTTTTCTGAAGCCAAAGGCTTTTCAAGCCAAAAGAAGAAGAGGAACATTCCATACAATGCCACAGTATGATGTGTAGATAGAAGATCCTGGCAGGTAGGCATTAGCTTCACAACCAGGCATAATAGTCTGATCCAACTATCTTTATAGGTTGAGATTGGCTGCTTTAGCCAGTAATGAGCTCTGTATCCCTGGCCAGAAGCCAAAAAAAGGCATGGCTCTTCATATTGCAGATACACTTCAAGAACTGGTGTGGGACAAGAATTGGACCTAAGTTCCTGAACAACAACAAAAAACTAGGCCTATTAAATCAACACATAAGTACTTATAAAGGTCTACTCTATTTAGTACGAAGAAAGGGTTTGGTTTTCTAAGTGCTCTGTTTTTCCTCACCAGGAGATGACCCATTCCTGGCCTGCTCCGCTCACTGCCATGCACACTCCTGGACACTCTGAGCAGAACACGTTTTCCATCCCAGGACAGGTCAGTTCTCCTTTCTCCTCCATTCTTCTTTACCTGCATTATGCCACACTTCTCATTTGATTCAAAATGGGGAAAAAATAGGGCTTGGGTATTCTAGAGAAAATATAGAGAAAAATTCAGATTAAAATTTGGATTAAAAATACAAATCTATCTAAGTTGATAGCTAGATAAGTATCTAAATAAATATCTGGATAAATCTAGATAAGATCTAGATTCAAAATCTAGATAAGATTCTGGCAAGGTCTAGATAAATCTAGATAGATATCTAGCTAGATATCTGGATAAATCTAGATAAGGTCTAGGTTACAAATCTAGACAAGATCCAGATAAGATCTAGATAAAAATCTAGATAAATATCCAGAGAAGATCCAGACAAAAATCTAGAGAAGATTCAGTATACAATCTAGATAGAAATCTAGATAAATATTCAGAGAAAGACCTACATGAAAAAATCTAGGTAAATATCCAGAGAATATCTAGATAAAAATCTAGATAGATTTAGATAAGATCTAGATAAGGTTGAGAGATTTCTAGATAAAAATCCACATTTTTCTCTTACCCAAAAGATGGTACTAGAGATATACTTTTTAAATTAAAGGAGTCTTTTGGGGGGGCATTTATTTATTTATTTGTTTGTTTGTTTTGAAAATACCTATAGAGGGTTACAATTACATGGGCAAGATAATGAGTACATTTCTTATCAAGCATTGTTCCCTCCGCCTTTGTAAGAAAACCTTTACATAAATGTTGTATGGAAGACTAAATATACCCACAAGCTTGACATTGAGAAAAATTGTGGTCCTGGCTCTGCTAGATCAATTACTGGAGAGTGAGGTCTGCTCCAAAGCAAACAGATGGTTACAAGCCAAGGTACCCTATGGATAGAAAATTTTCTGTCCGCTATATCTTCAATAGTTTTTTCTACTGATAGCTCTTGTATATAGCTTTTCCTTCTCTAGCTTCCAGTGATCATTTATCACCATTAGTTTTCTTATTTTTCAATTCACATTCATTAATAATATGAAGGAGTTTTTTTTGCCATTGCTGGGTCTTGAACTCAGGGCCTGAGCTCTGTCCCTGAGCTCCTTTTGCTCAAGGCTAACACTCTACCATTTGAGCCATGGTACCACTTCTGTTTTTTCTGTTTATATGGTACTGAGGAATCCTATCCAGGCTTTCATGCTTGCTAGGCAAGCACTCTCCCACCTTCTCAGCCCTATGAAGGAGTTTTATTGTAGTAATTCCACAGGTGCAGCAGGTTCTAACCAGCTTGAAGACTAATGTCTATTTTAATAACAAAATTTTAAAGAAAAAATAATTCTTTCCTTCCTTTCATCTATATATTCAGAATGCATTTGCTGAAGAAATAAAATGCACATACAGTTAAGAATGGAAAAAGCAGATGAAGAACAAAACAATATACATTATAAGGGATTTCCTAGAGAATACACAAATCTCAAAGAACTATATGACCCACCCCTGCAGAGTTGATGATATGCTCACCATGAAGCATGGAGGTGGTTACATTGCAAGAATAAGGAGTTTCTAACAGGTAGATAAGGACCCATGACAAGAACACTTCATGTAGAAGACTAGCACAGTAGATAAGGAATTATGGTATGATCCTTTGTAAGTATGAGGTTCCAAGTGGCTGGATTAGACTTTTTCTGTAGGACTAGTGGAGAGAGAGAAACTCTAGATAAGTGACTATCTTGCTGTGAAAGACCCTGGAAGGTACTCACAGAGTTTGGATTTTATGAAAGGAGAAATACCCAATCAGATCTGTTATTTCTTCTGAACACCATTGTAATAATAACTCTTATTGAAACTGTATTCAACTATCCCCCTCTCCTTTGGGAAGAATCAGAACTAAAGACAACCTTTACTCTCACAGTCAGTGACACACTGTGTGTCATTCCTACTTTCATCCCCATTGTCCCTCCTTAAGGTACCTGCGCTTGGTATCCATATTTTCAATTTTATTTTTTAGCATCTTCAGCAAAGAAAGAAAAGCATCCATTTCAATCATTGATTCTAACACTTATATGTCAACTGCAGTGTTTTCGGCTACATTTTAGAAATGTAAAGATGGTTTCTGCAAGTTGCAATTTTGACTTTTAAGTAGGTACAGTAGAACTGGTTGTCCAAATGGGATTTTGCAGTCTGTATATCATTTAAAATTAGACATGACTTGTGTTTTCTTCCATTTATCGATGTTACCTTCCACTCCATGACAAAGGTAGAAAGAAACAAGTGGAATAAATTGGTGAAACAAGGATGACCATGCATATTAAATGCATATTAAGTACATAGTAACAGGTGCAATGATACCATATGTCTCATTCCACTCTAAATGCTTCATCTACAGTAAACTCAAGCCTCACTACAACCAAAAAGGGAATTTGATTACCTCTGCTATACAGAGGAAGATACAGAGTCACATAGTAATTAAGTAATGTGCTTGAGATCCTCGGGTTAATAAATGAAGAATGTTTGTATTGAGAGCCAGGTGTTCAAACACCAATAGCCATACTGTAGCTCATTGTGTCTTTTTTGGGGGGGAGGGGGTCCTGTCGTGGGGCCTGAACTCAGCCTGGGCGCTGTCCCTCAGCTCTTCAGCTCAAGGCTAGCGCTCTACCACTTGAGCCACAGCGCCACTTCTGGCTTTTTTTCTTTTTGCTTATGTGGTGCTGAGGAATCGAACCCAGGGCCTCATGCATGCAAAGCAAGCACTCTACCACTGAGCCACATTCCCAGCCCTCATTGTGTCTTTTTTTGCACAAATTTACATAGAATTTCTGTCAAAACATTACTTTCTCCATTATATATGTGTAACATGGATAATTGCCACTTCCTACAAGCTTGTACCTATACTGGATATCACTAACTTTGTGGATATTGTTGATTTTCTTGTAGACACAACACAGCTTGTCAAATGGGGAAAAGGCCTGCAGACAGGATGCATTTTAATCTTGTTACAGATACTTCATTTTTTCTTCTATATACTGGATTTGATTGTTGGGGATAGAAGGACTTTATAATCCCAGTGGAATTTGCATGTGAAATATTCCATGATTTTGTAAATTTACAATAACAAATGCAATTGAATAATTATGAATGGATGTTCTCTTACTAACTGAAAATACTGTATTTGCTCGTAGAGAATGGAAATTCCCACAAGGAAGAGAGTGAACTAAGGTTGAACACAATTAAGGGAACAATAATGCACCTGGGGAAATTAAAAGGAAACAACTCTTGGAGCAGAGATTATCAAATAGTGGCCCATATATTGTTTGTTTTTGTGCCAGTCCTGGGGCTTGAGTTCAGAGCTTGGGCACTATCTGTGAGCTTTTTTTTTTTTTGCTTCAAGCTGGTGCTATACTACATGAGCCACAACTCCACTTTCAGCTTTTTGGTGATTAATTGGAGATAGGCATGTCACAGACTTTTGACTTTTCCTGCTTGGGCTGGCTTTGAACTGAAAACCTCAGATGTCAACATCCCAAGTAGCTAGGACTACAGTGTGAGCCACCATCACCCAGATGATTTTTATATTTCTAAAGCCTCAAATTTTTCAAAAGAAAAAAAATGTGTTCATCTGAATAATGTGAGAATAAATATAGAATTTAAATTTCAGTGCCCATAAAACAAGATTTCTTGGGATGCACAGATTGAAGTCAGACTTAAAAAAATGTACTACATGCATTAATACATACTTTATGAACAATTCAGGTGTATGAATAGAGTATATCTCCTCGGGGCTAGTTATTTTGGAATATTACATTGGTGACACAAAGAGATGTGTCATTTGTTTGGATTTCAGATTTAAGTTACTTAGCTTAATATTAAAAACCATATCATGAATATATAACATCAATTACTTAAAATCAGTGACTAATGTAAACTTTCTGTTGGCTTCAAACATCATTGCCTTAATGCCATGCAACAGCCAATTTTTTGAATCCAAAGTCAAAAATACCTGTATAAAGATTTTTAAAAGCGGAATTCCAAGACCAGTAGAAAAACTGTTTCACTCGCTGATCACACACTGAGTTTTATTGACTTTAGAATTTGCCTTTCTATTTCCTAAAGGCATATAAGTCCAAACATGTCATGTCTTTGTTATTCATAGAAACCATGTAGAGACACTATTTTGAAGAGTAATTCTTTTCTGACTTTTATATATGATTTAACCGTTCTTTTAAAAATGTTACATTGGCATACATTAGCAATATGCAATTGATCCCTTTCATCCTACTTTCATTCCTCTCCTTCACCTCTCCCCTATTTAGTGTGGATATACATATATGGATATATAGAGAGATAGATAGATAGTTATTGATAGATAGATAGATATGCACACTCATGTATATATATTTCATAGATGTGTATGATATAACATCACAGATGTGTATATGTGTGGATATATATATACATATATATGTGTGTGTGTATATATGTGTGTGTGTGTGTGTGTGTGTGTGTATAAAGTCAATCAACCCTCTTCACTCACTGTATGTTTCTTTTCTCTATTCTTGCTGGTTTCCTGCCCAGTTTATGTTCATGTACCATTACTATTATTATCATTATCATTTTAGTTTATATTGTACAAGTAAGCAAGAACATACCATATTTGGGTCAGCTTGGCTTATCTAAGTCAACATAGTTTTCTCTAATTCCATCTATTTTTCTGCAAATGAAAAAAATCTCATTTTTATTCTAGCTGAATAATAATCCATTATTTATATATATACATGTATATATATACATATATAATGGATGTATATGTATATATATGGATGTATATATATACATATATAATGGATGTATATGTATATATATACATATACATGTATATATATACATATACATCCATTATTTTTATATATACATATATACATATATATATATATACATTATTTATATATATACATGTATATATCCATTATTTATATATCCATTATTTATATATATACATATATACATTATTTATATATACATATATATAATATTCTCTTTATACATTTGTTGGCTTTTGATAACAATTTTACAAGTATCAGCATCAAGTATTAAACCATGCTGTACTATTATGTTATGTTGTAATTATGCCCTTAGAGGCTTAGAAGATAAGTAGATTGTTTACTTTTATGGTAAATACCACTGACTTTACACTTTTTAAGTTTTAACTTGTATCATTTTCCATGGACACCTATACTATAAGATTTTACAACTCTATTTCTTCCCTATAGTTATACTACTGAAAATATTTCCCCTTCCCTTCCATCTGTTATTTTCTAAAGGGTAGAAATTGGATGGCCCAGGTTTTTAGAGTTCTTTATCAAAAGACGGTTTTCTATCAGTGATGGTACAAAAGCTTTTGAACAGCAAAGTGCATGGGCTCAATGGAAGCTCTTAAGCTAAAAAGGCTTTTCTTACCTGTTATTTATTTGATGGAGTAGTGATCATCTCACAACACAAATCTGTTGGGAAGCACAGTTATGCACAGTAGATTGAACAGTTCAATTCTGATTAAAACACAATTGCAAAGTTTATTTTATTTTTGAGACAAAGCATGCTGTGTTTATATTAGGGAGTAACAATCTTAAACTTCATGAATAGATTATTTGAGGCAATAAATGATATAAATAATTCTACTTAGTGTTTGGGGAGACTTCTGGGGATAAGTCCCAGTGCCTTGTATATGGGAGGCAAAAGCTATCTCCCCAGGCTATGACTTCAATTAATTGTCTCCAATTTTAGAAAGCTTACCCTGAAATCCATACAAATTTTTATTGGACTTATACAATACTTAATGTAACCTGAACATCACTATAGTGCCTCTGTTGCACAGTTGTGCCAAAATCTCAGGAAGCAGTATGAATGTAAGTCTAGTTTTCTCAAAATACTGAATACATTGTACAAAGAATAACTCTCAAGTCAAATGCGAATCCCCTTAAATAACATACTAAAACATATTTCAAATTGTTTTTGTACTTCAGCAGATTTGTAATGAAGTGCAAAGAACAGTTTCTTTACAAGATGAGGTACAGCCCCTTCATAAGAGTTATGCTTATGGGGGCTGGGAAGGTGGCTCAGTGGTAGAGCGCTTGCCTTGCATGCCTGAGGCCCTGGGTTCAATTCCTCAGCACCACATAAGCAAAAAGAAAAAAGCCAGAAATGGCGCTGTGGCTCAAGTGGTAGAGCGCTAGCCTTGAGCTGAAGAGCTGAGGGACAGCGCCCAGGCCCAGAGTTCAGGCCCCACAACTGGACCCCCCCCCCAAAAAAAAGAGTTATACTTATGATAGAATGTTGGAGTGGTTTCTATAAAAGGGGAAAACAGTATCGCTTTTTAAATTTTAAATTTGCAGTTACATAAGTAAGGTAATGAATAAATTTCCTTTTGAGCAGTGTTACCCCCTCCTTATTCTCTTCTTGTTTTCCCCTCCCAACATCCCTCCCTCCCAAGTTGTATATAGTCCATTTCCAACATAGTATCTAGTGATTCTAACTGCTGAATTAGTTTACCTGTTTTAATTTTTTTAATTTTTTATTTTTTTAGTATACTTAGTTCACCTTTTGACCCATCATTTCTGTACTTTCCCTCTCTTGCCCCAAATCAGATAAACTTACATACAAAGCAGAAGGTACAGAAATAAAAAACCATGACAAAAGAGGGGAAACAGGAAAAGAAGAACCACAAACAATAAAATAAAATCCTCTTGTTTCAATTTCTTGGAATTCATTTCAATCACCATCATTTTATATGATCATATGCACATAGCTTTTGAGCCCTTGTGATCCTCTCCTAAGAATATCCTCCTGTGTTCTCCCTGTGCTTTAATCATGTCCAAGTGTAATTATTTGTCTTTTAGTATCCGTTGGGTTTACTTGTAGATTTATAAGCACTAATTCTAATTATTACAAATGAGAAAAACCATGCAGCCTATGTTTGTTTGGGTCTGGATTACTTCATTTAGTATAATTTTTTCTAAGTCTTTTCATTTCCTTATGAACGGGACAATATCATTCTTCTCTGATGGAAGCATAGAATTCCATTGTATATAAGACTACATTTTCTTGATCCATTCGTTCACTGAGGAGCATCTGTATTGATTCCATATCTTAGATATGGTAAACAATGCTGCAATGAACATGGTTATGCTGGTGGCTTTAGGGTGGTTTGGTTTGTGGTCATTTGGATAAATGCCCATGAGTGGGATTGCTGGATCATAGGAAGCTCTATAGGTATCTTTTGAGGAACATCCATACTGCTTTCCAGAGTGTTTGAACAAGTGTACATTCCCACCAATGGTATAGCAGCATTCCCTTTTGGCCACATCCCCTCAAACATCTATTATTTTTAATTTTCTTGATAATGGCCATTTACTGGGGTGAGGAGGAATCTCAATGATGTGATTTGCATTTCTTTTATGGCCAGAGATATTGAACATCTCTTTATGTGTCTATTGGCCATTCTTATTTCTTCTTCAGAGAAGTCTCTCTTTAAGGCTTTAGCCAATTTATTAATTGAGTTGTTGTTTCTTTGACGATAAGTTTTTGGGAGGTTTCATTTTTTGAGCTCTATGTATATTTTAGATATGAGGTCCTTGTCTAATGCATAGCTGGTAAAAGTCTTTTCCTATTTTATGGGCTTTCTATTTATCTTGCTAGCTATGTCCTTTGCCATGTAGAAACTCTTCAATTTGATACAATCCCATTTATCCACTTGTTCTTTTATGTGTTATGATTCTGGAACAATATCTCTTAATTATAGTTTTAGTTACGATTTTACAAAAGCCATGATCATTGTTTGTTTGAACTTCCTCAGAAGCATCATTGCCTAGTTAAGAAGTTACACACCAAGAGATCATATATGTTAGTCATTCTTCCCAAATAGATACCAGTCTTCCCTATAACATGAATAAAATGGCCATTACAATGCTGTGGCAGCAACTTTGACTAACAAATATTTGTTCTTCAAGTAGAGTCATAGGGTGTAATTTATGGAATTATAAACAGTCATTTCCTGTTTACAAAGAATAGTCAAATTACATCTGCAGAAATAACAGTTACACCTTTTGTCCCCCTTTCTACCATTTCACTCATGTTTAATGTCATATGTTCTCTCTTATAGGAATCTCAACATCTGACCCCAGGATTCACCTTACAAAGTAAGTACTGTTTTTTTAATTACTTTTTAGTTCAGGCATCCATATTCTCTCCTCCTTTACTTTTCCCTCTTTCCTACTTAATATAATTAAAGTATGAAAGAATGAGGGCAAAATTGATATTTTGATATATCCATCTACTTCCTTTTTAAATCTGTTATATCAGGAAACCAGGAAATGAACTTGAAGGGCTACATGTTTTGAAATGAATTTAATACTGAATAATAATTTGACGGTGGAAGCATGGGCAGTAATGGTGTCTGTTCTTTTCAGAGTGGAGTGACCCAACTAGCAGAGCTTCGACGAAGTCAGTATCATTTGAGTTGTGAGTACTTGGGTTTCTAAACCACACCTCTTTAGGGATACTTGCAAAGGAAATAATATCTCAATGTTGAGCTTGTTCCCTATTGTTCTTTCCTGTTCCTTGAGAATATGGACAATCATTGTAGTGTGTACTTTGGTTAACAGGAATAATTAGATTTCCTATTCTCATAATCTCTTTTGGCTGCCATAACAAAATACCACAAACTGGGTAACTTATAAACCGCCAAAATATATTTCTTACAGATATTAAAGCTGGGATATTAGAGATCAAGGCACCAGTAGAAATGGTATTTGGTGAGGACTCACTTCATCATAGACAGCATATTCTCACTCAAACCTTACAAAGTAGAATGACAAAAGATCTCTCTGGGACTTTATTTTTAAGTACTAATCCCCATGAAGATTCCATCCTCATGATGTGCTTGGCTCCAAAAAGGCCTTCCTTTAAATATTATCACCTTGGGTTGACAATTTTAGCATAATAGTTTTCATCATGAGGCACTGTGATGTAGACACTGGTTGGGTCAACACCTAGAATAGTAAACCAATCATTATGTTAGGAAAAATATCTATCTATACAGTTTGTTTTCTACCTTTTGACAAGTTACTTATCATCATATAACTTTAGAAACAGACATCTGTATATAGTCATCTACTTTTGACTAGGAACATAAAATGTTCCTAGCCATGTTCCTATTGAACATGAAATGTTGTATTTCCTGGTATAACTAAGGAACCTAACGCCCTATTATTTGTAGGTCATATGGCATCTGTATATTTAAGAGATAAAAGAAAACATTACATGGTAATCTAGGTTGAAATTAAAAAAACAGGGACTTGTATTTCACTCAGCAGTGTCTCTATTTTTTTATTAATGTTAAGTGAAGGAGGAATTTGCAGAAACTAATTTCCTCAGATTAACTATTGTAGATTTCTTAATATCCATTTGCCCAAGAGTGTACCAGGGGAGTCTTTCTCTCATGACTTCTTTCATTCCTGATAATAGAAAATGGAAGTTGACTTTTCTGTATGAGCAATAGTACATACTTGAAAATTTTCAAAATGAAATAATTTATGACACTCAAGTAGCTTAATGGCACACTCGAAGCAAATTGCTCACCTTTTGGAAGATCACGAATAATTGCATAAGACAAGTGGGAATGTCTCTCAAATAGCCTGAGATTCTGTGAAAACCAATGATGTTTCTACTATATATTTTGTTGTAGTGCTGAATTAAAGGCCCACAATCCTCACCCCATCACCAGACCCAAGGCTTAATCTGTGCCTTCTAATTCAAATTTCAACTTCAACCATCAAAAATCCTCAAGTTAAAAAAAACACCTCAAGACATATACTAGTTATTGCAAGTAATGGAAACCATGGGACCTATGTTTCTTTGGACCTGGCTTACTTCACTTAATATAATTTTTTCTAAGTCTTTCCATTTCCCAACAAATGAAGCAGTATCATTCTTTCTTATGGAGGCATAGAATTCCATTATACATATATATCCCATATATATATATATATATATATCCCATATATATATATATATATATATGTATATATATATATATATATCACATTTTCTTGATCCATTTATCTACTGAGGGGCATCTGGGTTGGTTCCAAATCTTAGCTATGGTGAATAATAGTGCAATAAACATAGTTGTGCTGGTAACTTTAGTATGGTCTTGTTTGTGATCATTTGGGTAAATGCCCAAAAGTGGGATTGCTGGGTCATAGGGGAGCTCTATGTGGAGTCTTTTGATGAACCTCCATACTACTTTCCAGAGTGACTGAACAAGTTTAACACTCCCGCCAACAATGCAAAAGGGTTCTCTTTTGGCCACATCCCCTCCAGCTTCTATTGTTATTAGAGTTCTTGATTATAACTGGGGTGAGGTGGAATCTCAATGTTGTTTTGATTTGTATTTCTTTTATGGTTAGACAAGTTGAGCATTTCTTCATGTGTCTATTGGCCATTCTTATTTCCTCTTGAGAGAAGTCTCTCTTTAATCTTTAGCTCACTTATTAATTGGGTGGTTGTTTCTTTGAGGATTTGTTTTTGGAGGATTTAACTTTTTGAGTTCTAAATATATTTTAGATATGAGACCCTTGTGTGGCTAGTAAGGATTTCCCAGTCCGTGGGCTTTCTACTGATCTTGCTAGCTATGTTCTTTGTCATGCAGAAGCTCTGCAATTTCATGCAATCCCATTTGTCCAACCTTGCTTTGATTTGTTGGGTTTCTGGATCTTTATTAAGAAAAATTTGGCCTTTGCCAAGGATCCCTAGTTTCTCCTATTCCTTCCTGTAATGTTTTCAGAATGTCTGCTTTTACTTCGAGGTTTTTCATCCATTTGGAGTTGATTCTGTTGCAGGGTGATATATAAGGATCTAGCTTTAGTTTTCTACAGGTGATTAACCAATTTTGCCAGCACCATTTACTGAAGAGGCTATCTTTCTTCCATTCTATTTTTTAGCTCCCTTATCAAAGATTAGGTGGCTATAGGTCTGTGGGTTTATTTCTGGTTCTTCAGTTCTATTCCACAGGTCCTGAGGTCTATTCTTGTGCCAGTACCAAGCTGTTTTGATTACTATGGCTTTGTAGTAGAGTTTGAAGTTTGGTATTGATATTCCTCCAGCACTGTTCTTTCTGCTAAGGATTGTTTTTGCTATTCGGGGTCTGTATGTCTAGGACAATCCCAAAAAGTCAAAAGCTGTGTACATATGTCCATATAAGATGATGCTAAGCAAATTGAACCCCAAGATAGGGACATAAGAGGTTTATCTTTCTTGCTATTGTTTTTAATATACTTATAATGTACTATATGATTTTTTGTATGTTCTTCCCCCATGGTAAAACCCTTGTTTTCACTGTATTTGATTCTGGTGCACTGCATCTTGTAGATACATTTTTCTAATTTAGGGAGGGGAAGGGAAATAACAAAATGCTAAAATAAGGATACAGGTTGACCCATTGTAGCAATGAGATATGCAAGACACTATGTTGAAAATGAACTTTACAACTTCAGGGGATGGGGGGAGGATTTGGTCAGGGAGAGAAGAGTGGTAGGGGATAAATAAAGGAGGAGGTAACAATGCTCAGTAAGAAAGAAATGTGCTCATCACCTTACTCATGTAACTATAGCCCCTCTGTACAGTATCTTTACAATAAATATATATATTTAATTTTTTAAAAAACTCAAGAGAAAACAAGAAAAGGGGATAAATTGGAAACATGTTTGGAATTCTTCAATTTGGATTTTCCATTAATCATATAAATGAACTGACCCTACCACTTGTTATTCTAATAAGTGGTTCATTATTCTTTTTTAATTTAATTTTGTCAAGGTGATGTACAGAGGGGTTACAATTATATACTTAAGATAAGAAGTACATAAATTGTCAAACATTGTTACCACCTCCCTTGTTTTTCTCCCATGGTTTATTATTCTTTTTTTTTTCAGTCATGGGATTTGAAGTCTGGGCCTGGGTGTTGTCCCTGAGTTCTTCAGCTCAAGGAGAGTGTTATACCACTCGAGCTACAATGCCACTTCTGGTTTTCTGGTGGTTAACTGGAGATAAGTGTCTCACAGACTTTCCTGCCTGGGCTGGCTTTGAACCATGATCCTCAGATCTCAGCCTCCTGAGTAGCTAGAAGCTACTCCTAGGAGTGACTCTGTGAGTCACTGGAGCCAGGTGCTTTATTATTCTTTTATAGTGTCTCCTTGCCTCCAATTCTACCTCATTTTACCTCCATTTAAAACAAAAGAAAACAAAAATGCCTGTGTGCAAATATTCACACATTTAGAAAATCAATATATGTTTGCAAACACTAAAAAGTATAAAATTATATTTTCCAGTTGTAAAATGGTTTTGCTGCTAAAGCATGAATGAATATCAGGCTCCCAGTGTGAAATATGCTACTTTCCACATACACTATAGCATGCAATTTTCAGTAGTTTATAACTAACAGAAATAAACTCGTCAATGGTGTTTTATAGTTAGAGGCTACATTTCAGAAAACAGCACTTTATAGCACTGCAGTATATAGTACAGTCAATAAGACTTAAATTGTCTATAGGAAGTGTTGGTAGAACTAAAAGGCACTGAGTCTATTTTATGAATGGCTTTCTCCAATTTGGGCTGCTTGTTCTAAAGTCCAACCACTGTCCATTAGATTTGGGGTGGAATAAGTTCTCTTCTTATGGTAGGGTATGGATTTAACATAGGATAGATTGGTTGTAATAAAGTTTTTATTTTTAGCTTCTAAATAATTATCAACTCACTCTTACTCTCCCATCCTTCAACACAATGTGCTTTGAAGTCAACTCCTAGAAGTTTCCATTTGACAGGGTAATCTACCAGGTAATTAAGAGCACTCTGACTGCAGAAAGACTGCTGAGCCTGGAGCTTGGTGGGAAGCTGCCCCCAATTCAGCAAGGCAGCTCACCCAAGGCCAGCAAATGCGTGTGGCATGCTCCCTGCTGCTTAGTGAACTGGAGAGAGATTAGAGTCTTGTAAAACAGAATCCCTTAATTGCTGGGACAGTCTATGCATTTTCCTCATCATGGCATTTTTGCTTTGGCTGACGAAATGCAGAACTCCTATTTCAGTGTGATTGTTTATAAGGACTGCATGCATGAACACCCAGGTGAAAATACTGGCCCCAGTGACTGAGTACAGGCATCAACTGCACAGGATCCTTCTTTATTTTATTTTTGACACTTGTCTCTTCCTCTGAGCCTGACCTGGCCTTTGGGAGAACTGCATGTTTTCCTATTTAGTCTACTTTGCTATGCTAACATACATAGCTTTCTATTGGGTGTGCATAATCTATATCCTATATCCTCCAAGTAGTACTTTAAATGCCTGTAAGGCAAAAACACTGGAAAAGGAAAGTTGAGAAACTGGATTTGAGACTCATTCTGTGGCTTTTGTAATTGTGGGGGAGAACACTAACCTACCTCAGATGTAGA